TCATGCAATGTCATACACAGGAGTTAATCACGTGTAATTTCTATCATGTAATGTCATACACAGGAGCTAATCACATGTAATTTCTATCATGTAATGTCATACACAGGAGCCAATCACATGTAATTTCTATCATGTAATGTCATACACAGGAGTTGATCACGTGTCACGTGTAATTTCTATGATGTAATGTCATACACAGGTGTTAATCATGTGTAATTTCTTTCATGCAATGTCATACACAAGAGTTAATCACGTGTAATTACTATCATGTAATGTCAGACACAGGACATATTCACGGGTAATTTCTATCATGTAATGTGAGACACAGGACATATTCACGTGTAATTTCTATGATGCAATGTCATACACAAGAGTTAATCACGTGTAATTTCTATCATGTAATGTCAGACACAGGACATATTCACGTGTAATTTCTATCATGTAATGTCATACACAGGAGTTAATCACATGTAATTTCTATCATGTAATGTCATACACAGGAGTTGATCACGTGTCACGTGTAATTTCTATCATGTAATGTAATACACAGGAGTTAATCACGTGTAATTACTATCATGTAATGTCAGACACAGGACATATTCACGTGTAATTTCTAACATGTAATGTCATACACAGGAGTTAATCATGTGTAATTTCTATCATGCAATGTCATACACAGGAGTTAATCACGTGTTATTTCTATCATGTAATGTACGTCATACACAGGAGTTAATCATGTGTAATTTCTATCACGTAATGTCATACACAGGAGTTAATCATGTGTAATTTCTATCACGTAATGTCATACACAGGAGTTAATCACGTGTAATTTCTATCATGTAATGTCATACACAGGTGTTAATCACGTGTAATTTCTATCATGTTATGTCAGACACTTGACATAATCAGCTCCCTACGTTTCTTTAGGATTGTCTTTGATGTTTAAATTCAGAAGTGTATGTACTGGAAACTTTCATTCTACTTCAGAACTTTTTATCTCCCTCGAGCATATCCTGCGAAGAACATTTCTTGGTATGCAGTGTTTCAAAAGTTTCTACTCAAAGTGACTTTACTTATACCTCCAGTACAAACTTATTTCTTGTCACATAAAATAATTCAGCATTGCTATATAATATTAACAAAGAGTGCTAAGTCACGCTGGAAAACAAGGAAATAAGCATTTAAGCACTCTTGAAAAAGGATAAAGTTCAATTGGCCGTTAATTTGCATGGACAAAAGGAAGCAAATTTAAAGTACCCATGATCTTGTCCAGTATGTTGAAATATATTAGGAAATGTGTTAAATACTACAAACAAATATATACACTGATTTTAGCTTGTAAGGGTACAATGTACATCTTGTCTATTTACACACACTCATCAAAAGTACATCGAGTGTCAAGAGAAGCAATATGATGATTCAAGATAATAAGGTCATAACTCCAGTTGGTCACAAGGTTATGAGGTCATAACTCCAGTTGGTCACAAGGTTATGAGGTAATAACTCCAGTTGGTCACAAGGTTATGAGGTCATAACTCCAGTTGGTCACAAGGTTATGAGGTAATAACTCCAGTTGGTCACAAGGTTATGAGGTCATAACTCCAGTTGGTCACAAGGTTATGAGGTAATAACTCCAGTTGGTCACAAGGTTATGAGGTCATAACTCCAGTTGGTCACAAGGTTATGAGGTAATAACTCCAGTTGGTCACAAGGTTATGAGGTCATAACTCCAGTTGGTCACAAGGTTATGAGGTAATAACTCCAGTTGGTCACAAGGTTATGAGGTCATAACTCCAGTTGGTCACAAGGTTATGAGGTAATAACTCCAGTTGGTCACAAGGTTATGAGGTCATAACTCCAGTTGGTCACAAGGTTATGAGGTAATAACTCCAGTTGGTCACAAGGTTATGAGGTCATAACTCCAGTTGGTCACAAGGTTATGAGGTAATAACTCAAGTTGGTCACAAGGTTATGAGGTAATAACTCCAGTTGGTCACAATGTTATGAGGTAATAACTCCAGTTGGTCACAAGGTTATGAGGTAATAACTCCAGTTGCTAACAATGCTATGAGGTAATAACTCAGTTGGTAACAAGGTTATGAGGTAATAACTCCAGTTGGTCACAAGGTTATGAGGTAATAACTCCAGTTGGTCACAAGGTAATTTCGAGGTAATAACTCCAGTTTGTCACAAGGTTACGAGATGATAACTCCAGTTTGTTATGAGGTTATAAGATGATAACTCAAGTTAGTCACAAGGTTATAAGATGATAATTCAAGTTAATCACAAGTTTATAAGATGATAACTCCAGTAAACACAAGTTTATAAGATGATAACTCCAGTATGAAAATCCTAGTTTGTTATGATGAAGTTTACATGAAGTTATAATGTCTAGTGGATGTGACAGACACATCTGCTACCACAAAAATGATTACCACCATATAATACAAAGGATAATCACCATTGACACACAGCCTGAGTAAAGACTTTCCATGATACACACAGGATTACCACCATACATACAAATTAAGGCTGATAATAGCAACCATACATACAAATTAAGGCTTACAATAGCAACCATACATACAAAGGCTTATAATAGAAACCATACATACAAAGGCTTACAATAGCAACCATACATACAAATTAAGGCTTATAATAGCAACCATACATACAAAGGCTTATAATAGAAATCATACATACATAGGCTTATAATAGCAACCATACATACAAAGGCTTATAATAGAAACCATACATACGAAGGCTTATAATAGCAACCATACATACAAAGGCTTATAATAGAAACCATACATACAAAGGCTTATAAAAGTAATCATTCATACAAAGGCTTATAATATCAACCATACAAACAAAGGCTTATAATAGCAACCATACATACAAAGGCTTATAATAGCAACCATACATACAAAGGCTTGTAATAGCCACTTTATATATGTATAAAGGTTTGCCATCATACACACAGGCTTGCTTTCATATACAAGGGAAGCCACCATACACACAGGATTGAAAACATAAGCAAGGTAAGCCACCATACACACAGAATTGCTAACATTTACAAGGTAAGCCACTATACACACATGATTGCTAACATATACAAGGCAGGCCACTATAGACACAGGATTGCTATCATATACAAGGTCAGCCACTATAAACACATGATTGCTAACATATACAAGGGAAGCCACCATACACACAGGATTGCTAACATATACAAGCTAGGTAAGCCACTATACACACATGATTGCTAACATATACAAGGTAAGCCACTATACACACAGGTTTGCTATCATATACAAGGTAAGCCACTATACACACATGATTGCTAACATATACAAGGTAAGCCACCATACACACAGGATTGCTAACATATACAAGATAAGCCACCATACACACAGGATTGCTAACATATACAAGGTAAGCCACCATACACACAGGATTGCTAACATATACAAGGTAAGCCACCATACACACAGGCTTGCTAACATATACAAGGTAAGCCACCATACACAAAGGGTTGCCACCGTACACACATACAATAATACCACCATACAAAGGGTTGCCACCGTACACACATAATACCACCATACAAAGGGTTGCCACCGTACACATAATACCACCATACAAAGTATTGCCATCGTACACACATAATACCACCATACAAAGGGGGATGCCACCGTACACACATAATACCACCATACAAAGGGTTGCCACAGTACACACATAATACCACCATACAAAGGGTTGCCACCGTACACACACAATGCCACCATACAAACGGTTGCCACCGTACACGCATAATGCCATCCTTCACACATATTACTACCATACAAAGTTTTGCCACCATATACACAATCACTGCATGTAAATAGTCATTAATTATCAAGGCAAGTCAGATTTCCTTTGCCTGGTGTAAGTCAGTCTGACACAAATGTTGATGCCATGACTGAAATAGTAAGTAGACATGATCACAAAGATATAGTAATGTCAAACTAAATAAAACTTACAGTTTTGTAGAATTGATCCGTACGGTGCGCTGCCCGCAGCCAGGGCTATGTGGAACGCTATATGAGCAAGTGTTCCGAGGGCACTCACCACTATGATGCACTTTAGGTAGGCTCCTGTGCTTCCTACAAACCGAAAGAATAAAAATAATTACAGAAAATTCATGTAACCGGATTGTATTTTATACTTTATGTGTTCATCTTTTATATCAGTTAGGCCTTGCTTGACTATGAGTTATCTCCCCTTGTCTGGTTGTATTTTTTGTATTGTTTTTTGTAGGGTTTTTTACTGCTTTAAAATATGATATACCGAACGCGGCATGATCTATTATCCATTGAAGACGAACCTGTGACATTCAAACATTTTAAACAAATCCTCATCTTTAGAAACATATGAAACACTTGCTGTATCTCAAATTTGACCCTATATGATGGAGGCACGGTACTACTAGTAGTAGGACGCTGGGCTCGTGACAGAAGGGTTGCGGGTTTGAGTCACGTCACGGCACTGCGTTGTATCTTTGCTCATTACTCCGCTTGTTCCAGCATACTCAGCTGTAAATGAGTTCGTGGTTAGTCAGTGCTGCAATTGTAGAGTGCTAGCTGTGAGCGCAGAAATGGCAGCACCGGCTGTATATGCTCCCCAGGGAGTTGAGAAAGATATTGGCCGGTTGCAAAGGCCCTATAACCACGGATTAAAATTTGTGAACCGCTTTGAGACGACCTACTAACTAGATTGTGATAAAGCAGTATATAAGAACCTTGAGTTATTGTTATTATTATTATTACATGCCAAAAGCCTTGCTGGTAAAGTGTGTATTATAAGGTGGGCTCTCACATGAGATATCCACTATTTATTCTTACTGGGGTAGACATGCCAAAATAGAGAAAAGAACAAATATTAATCCAGCAGTTACTGTTGAAAGGCATTTTTACATGACAATTAAATTAGTTAATGATTCACATGAACATGAACTTTTTCTAAACAAAACGAGATCACTTTTAATTCATACTAAAGCAACACTGACCCTGAATTATAACGTGACCCTAACCTATAACGTGGCCCTAACCTATAATGTGACCCTAACCTATAACGTGGCCCTAACCTATAATGTGACCCTAACCTATAACGTGACCCTTACCTATAACGTGGCCCTAACCTATAACGTGGCCCTAACCTATAATGTGCCTAACCTATAACGTGGCCCTAACCTATAATGTGACCCTAACCTATAACGTGGCCCTAACCTATAATGTG